ATATATATATATATATATATATATATATATATATATATATATAGTCTCTGTCATTATTTCAACTCAATTTAAGATGATTTTATCCTTTTTTTTTCTTTATTATCTGTCTTTTTATTGGTCAACATTTTTTTATTTTTTATTTTTTTAATTTCGATTATTCAACTTGTATTCCTAAAATCCAATTTTAAATAGTGTATCACAAACTCACGCAATGATTTGAACAAAGAAAACAATTAATTAATTAATTAATTAGTCATACAACGATTTGGTCTCTTCTACTCTTTATATAATGATTATTTTTCGTAATAAGTTGACTATGTCTATTTAATTACTATAATTCCTAAGAATTTTAGTATTTGTTTCGTAGTTTAAGAATTCAAATATTGTCGATAAATTTATTTATTCCTATTAAATTAATAAAAATACTCTTCTACTATTCAAATTACCCGTAAACTTTTAAAATTCTATTATTATTAATCATTTAAAAAAATACCTTTAAACTTTTTTAAAAAAAATCATTAATATCCCAACTTATAATATCCATAAAAAAATAATACTAATAATATTTTTTTTTACCAATAATATATGGACGAAAATGGACTATCTTATCTCAGAGACCCATGATAGTGATACTAATAGTTTCATCCATTTGATATAATTGGTCATTTGGATCCAATGATAAAACCCGAAACAAAATTAGAAACACAAAAACATAGTATTCTTCAAACTAACACGACCACTCAAAGCTAAGCTAAGCGCTTGCATTATTCGGTATTGTTACTTCACGAACCACATTAACTCACGAACAATACGTATCTATTATTATGATACACTTTGATCTAACTTCTTTTCAGTTCAGCCTTCTGCAATTGGACCTAATTTCCCCGCTGCTCCCCGTCAACGGGCTCAGATTTCCCATGTTAATCATGGACTGAGCGAAGGCGCTCGCGAATTGGCTCGGGCTGTTGGCGAAGTTGTTCACAATGCTCACAGTTGGGGCCCCACTCGTGGACAACAACACTTGGTCACTTCCTAGAAGCCCACGGTTGTTCTGAAGATTCGTGAAGTAGTTGTTGTCGAACGTGTCGGGCGTTGTCGGGTCCAGGTTCACGAATGTGTCACGCCCCGGCTGACAGCTCTGTCGTAGCTGGTCCGCGTATGTCGAGTCCAGGGTTGGGTCTGGGTTGGATGTGTTCAGCCGTCCGTCGAAGAATCTGCACCTTGAGCGCCCGAACGTGTGCGCGCCTGACAAGGCTACGAGGTCAGTTGTGTCGTCTAGCCCCACGTCCCTGAACTTCCCTTGAAGTTCTGTGAGATTCTCAAACGGACTTGGAAGCCTATTTCTAGCTCCATCCAAATTCGCCGTTCTACTATCTCTTCTCCCCAATGGAACCGTCCACCCCTGCCCGCTCGCCTGCAAACACCATCCACAATGATATGATATTGTCTACTTTGAACATAACCTCTCATAGCCTTGATTATAAACCCATGACCATTCCCTAAATTAGTCGATGTGTATCCACTAATTTAATGTTGCAAGTAATATAGAATCATTTACGTACCAAAGTGACGGCAAATCGAGAACCAAGCGCTAGAATATCAGCACAGGAGACAACACCAGGACAAACATTCTCAACTGCGGTTTTAATGTCGTCGACAATATTGAAACCAGTGATGCCTCCGTTTCCAGGAGCACCAAGCTCACTCACTATGCCTGTTTGATCCTCTAGTAGAACAGACCCATCACATCCCTACAAATTTGACATCATCAGTCAGTCACACAGATTAATTAAAATAATGTCTAATGCGAAGAGTTTTAATATGATACTTACATCGACAAAGCAGTCGTGGAAGTGAAGACGGATGAGTTTAGCACCAGCACGATCGTCGCTTTGGAGAGCTTGTTGCACGACGCCTTGCACAATGCTGGACACATTGGGGCAAGTAGTGTCGTAGAAGGTGGAGGTGAGCTGAGAAGTAACGGACCCAACCAAGAAACACACACAAAGAGCCAAAGGAATCATAGCTTTGAAAGAAGCCATTGAGGTCTAGTATAATGAGCTTAAGCCAAATGGCATATGGTTTTATAGGCGTGAAGCCAAGGTGGTGGTGGAGGGGGTGAGGACAAATTGAAGGTTGAAAAGAAGGCAGCGTTTGACTTTTCAAACCCCAAATCCAATACAAAATTAGAGACCGTTTTGATGAATTTAAAATAATGAACACTAATTCTAACCCATCAACACGACTATCCATAATAGTATGATATTGTCGACTTTGAGCATAAACTCTCATGACTTTGAGGCCTCTCATACCACGGGAGAGAGTATTTTTTTTTTCAAAATGGCTGGTGTCAATAGAGATAATCGTGTTAAGTATAAAGACAGCACTTTTATTCAATATATGTAGAACGAAATTACACACGTACATGGAACGAGTATATGTCTCATCCCACTTTTTTTAAGCTGCAACCGACCCATGTCTTAGATTCAGCTGATTGCATTAATTTTAACCACAACATTGTTTTTAATATTTATATATATAAAAAGGGAGGTTTTTGTTGGTTTAGTTGAGTCTTCTGCAATTGGATCTAATTTCTCCCTTATTTCCAGTTAATGGCTTGATATTTCCCATGTTGATCATGGATTGACCGAAGCTGTTGAAGAACTGCTGTTGGCTGCGGGCGAAGGTGTTGACGATGCCCACGGTGTCCGAGCCGGGGGTGGAGAACAGGACCTGGTCGCTGCCCAGAAGCCCGAAGTTGGATTGAAGATTTGTGAAGTAGTTTTTGTCGAAGGCGTCGGGAGTGGTGGGGTCAAGGTTCACGAAAGTGTCTCTGCCTCTCGCACATGCTCGGCGGAGCTGGGCTGCGTATGAGGCGTCCAGGGTGTTGTCTGGGTTTGAAACGTTCAATCTTCGGTCGAAAAATTGGCATCTTGAGCGCCCGAATGTGTGGGCACCTACCACCATTTTCCCACAAATTAGATATTATTATTTTATGGCTCACTGTGGCCGACATGAGACACAACATTATATCACTTTCCTCCTATGTCATTTTTTAGGGTAAAAATAAAAATATGCTTTTCCAATAATTTTAAAGCATAATATCTAGAAATCATCGCATCGAAAAATATCAAGAAAATCTATAAACAAAAATATCATTCAATTTAAATATGTACTAAGCTGAAGTTATTGAAAATTGTTGGGAAAGAATCTCACATTCACTCGTTAAACAAAAAAAAAAAATCATGGGTTCATAGGTAAGGAATTCATTTTCATAGGTACGAGGTTTTTTTTTTTTTTTTTGGAGAAACTAAAAGTAAAGTCACGAGAACTTATGCTTAAAATGGACAATATCCCTCAAAAGTGTAGTCTCGAATAAATAGTATATTTTGATCAAGAGCTCCAAAGAAAAAGTCGAGCCTTGATTAAGAGGAGACTGTTCGAGAGCTCCATAGACTTCAGAAGAGGCTCTATGATGTATTTTTTTCGAGGGAAAGATTGTTGAGAATTGTTTCACATTGGCTAATTAAGGGTAAAATCATGGGTTTATAAGGAAAACATATACATGGGTACGAGGCTTATGAGAAAATAAAAAATAAAATTATGAGAGCTTATATTCAAAATGGACAACATGATACCATTATAGAGGTCTGTGATTTATAAAACACAGATGGTAAGAGCAGCCATGCACGTCGCTACAAGAGGCGTGCACATGCAATAATGGGATATTTATTTGGTTGAAAAGGCATATATACTCACCGGATAAAGCCACAAGATCAGTAGAATCAAGACCCACTCTACGGAACTTGTCTTTAAGTTGGCTTACATTCTCAAAGGGACTTGGAAGGCCATCCATCGCGCCTTGTAAGTTGGCTGTTCGGCTATCTCTTCTTCCCAATTGAACCTTCCAAAAGGGCCCTCCGGACTTGTATGAATAAACACAACCATTTCATTAATCCACTCCCAACACTAGATAAAATTTATCATCATTTACTTTACTTACCAAGTACACGGATTCTACGGAAGCTATGGCTAGGATATCAGCACACGAAACGACGCCAGGACAAGCCTTTTCGAGTGCAGCTTTGATGTTATCAACTATGTTAAACCCTGTGATATTGTCGTTTCCACGAGCACCAAGCTCACTCACTATGCCTGATTGGTTCACTAGTAAAACCGACCCATCGCACCCCTGAAAATTTACGAATCTTCTAAGATGATAACTTTTCAAAAAAACATAAAAGTATAGTGAAATCAAAATTTACATCAACGAAACAGTCGTGGAAGTGAAGGCGAATGAGTCTAGCGCCCGCTCGGGCGTCAGTCGCTAAAGCTTTTTGTACGACAGCTCGCACAATTTTAAACACGTTGGGGCATGACTTGGCGTAGAAAGTGGGAGATAGCTGAGCTTTAGAAGCTCCGAGCATCAACCCCACCAACAAAAAGATAGCAATAGGTTTAAAGGAAGCCATTTCTTTTGGTATAATTTGGGTGAGGTGAGGTATTATGCAAAAAGGCACAAGCTTTTATAGATCAAAAGAAGGTTATGAATATGACAAGGTGATGGTGGCTAAATGACCGACGAGGGTTTACGTGCTAGGGCCGATGAACGTTTGGAAACGAGAGAAGGGAATTAAATTTTTGATGTTGATAACTTTGTGTGATAGAGTCAAGCTCAACTATGACTTGAATTGATATGTGTTAGGCACCACTACTGTCCACAGTAGTATGATGTTGTCTACTTTGAACATAAACTCTCGTGATTTTGGTTTTGCTTTTGATTTTTCCAAAAGACTTCGTACGAGTGGAGATGTATTTCTTACTTATAATCTCATGATTAATCCTTTAATTAGTCGATGTGGGACTCTTCTCCCGACAATCGTCAACAACATATACCTCTTCCGGTAACGAAATTGAAATGATTATGCAATTGGGTAGTTGGGAGAAAGATTTAAGAGGAGAGATTTTGGATTTGGAAGAAGTTAAAGAAATAGAAAGATAATGGTGTTTATAATTGAGAAGAGGGCTCCATTGTCCAATTGGAAGAAGTTAAAGAAATAGAAAGATAATGGTGTTTATAATTGAGAAGAGGGCTCCATTGTCCAAAAAAGTCAACAAATTTATGATTGATTACGTTGCATGTTTAGAACAGATCGATATTATGAAAAATTCATCCAACCTTCACGTAACAACAACCGTATATTTTCTTTGAAATGAAAAGAACAAAAGAAANTTTGGAAGAAGTTAAAGAAATAGAAAGATAATGGTGTTTATAATTGAGAAGAGGGCTCCATTGTCCAAAAAAGTCAACAAATTTATGATTGATTACGTTGCATGTTTAGAACAGATCGATATTATGAACAAAACTGTTCTTAAAGATGAGCTGACTTTGACTCGATTCAATGCTAAGAACGTTTCTAAACTTAACAATAATTCGTTCGAGAACACAAATATTTTAGTTTTGACTCTAAATCGTAAATTCATTGGCTAAATTTTTGTATTCTAGACGTGTTTTTGTTCTTGTCCTTGTCAAAATTCATCCAACCTTCACGTAACAACAACCGTATATTTTCTTTGAAATGAAAAGAACAAAAGAAATTTGCATACTAATATGGTGCTTTTGAAATTATGATAAGTTTTGGATTTCGTTGAACTTTCTTGAACTTACTTTCTTCCAATAGAAGAAGAGTGCTTCGTTGATACTTTTTAGGATTAAGATAAAAGATATCAGAAATTGGACCCGATCAAAATAATACGGAGCGTTTCAGTTGAAAGCATACCGACTTAATGTTTATTTTGAGGAAGCAAAATATATGTTTGGGTCTATGGTTTAAACGGTCAAAATTCTCTTACAATCAATTTTAAGGTTCATGAAATTCAAAATTTTGAAATGAATCTTTATCGCATAAAATTCTCTTACAATCAATTTTAAGGTTCATGAAATTCAAAATTTTGAAATGAATCTTTATCGCATGCCCAAATTATTTTCATATGAATAGGGTATATTTAAATAATTGTCACCGATTAAATTGCTCCACTTAATTTTGGAATTACTTTAGAGTCCGTTTCAAACATTAATGACCAAAACCGTCTATATTGAAAATTTGCTCTTAGAATTAAATAAAAGAAATAAAAATAAAAACATGTTTCTTTATCTAAATAAATAAATAAATAAATATTATATTTTTAATTAAAAAATAAAAAATTTAAATTTTCATTCCCTTGTCTCTTTTCTCGTATCTTTATAAATAAAGATATTTCCTGGCTCTTTTTATATCTTTATAATTTATTTGATTATAAATAAGATAACTTTCTTACCATTATAAAAGAGAAAAATAGGTGGTGGGTGGGATGTGAAAGACATGTAGTGTTCAAAAGAAATTGTTCGGAGGTTCGGGGAAGGTGGGTTAGGGACAGAGCAGGAGGCTAAGCTAACTTGTTGTTGTTGTTGTTTTAGTCTGCGGGTGAATATGCAGAAGAGATTGGAGTATAATATAATAGTATGTAAAATGGATGGCATCCATAATGGTTGGTCGGATTCATGATGTGTATCTTCTTAAATGCCTTCAAAATATGGTATCCATCGCTATCTCTCTTTCTCTTTTCTCTGCGTCTTACCACTAACACACAGTGTCCCAAATGTATAACCTTTTTAACTCTACACTTCGGGCTTTGGGCTATACACATAGGCATCTAAACCCTGGGCTTCTAAATTCAGGCCTAAAACCCTCAACTTATCGTATTAAACCTCCACTGTGAAGATCCTATTTGAGATTTCGAGTTTAGACAGAGAACAAAAGAGAAAATGGGTAACATTTTGACGAGAATGGAGACAAGAAGGCTTTTACGACCCACAGACATTCTACTCGTGAACCTCTAAAAAAATGATTTTAAGCTCAACTTTTCACTTTATAGTAACCCATTAGCAATACGATTCAATTTTTTTTTTTTTTTTTTTTTTTTTTTTTTTTTTTTTGGAGTGGAGAATAGAATTTGATGTAGATTGGTGAGCAAGTTGTAAGTTCCTTTTTTTAGCTTCATCAATTTGAAACTATTATTAAAAATCATTTTAATTTATAGTTATGTTTAAAATTTTATTATATTATCCTTATCTCATCTCGAAAAAGGCATACCATAACTTAGAAAAGGGCGCACACAGATTACACAACCACAAACCTTAGCTTAATCATACTTAATTTTACAACTCCACAACACAACACAACAACCAAGCTGGTGGGTCCTACATAACATCGTGCCCTTCTCCACCCATCCCTGCTGCGTTCACCCTTGCGCAGTTCCTTCTGATTTCCCCACTACTTCCAGTCAAAGGCTTGATGTTCCCCATGTTCATCATCGAATGTCTGAACTCCTTGAAGAACGTCCCTTCTCTGGCGGCAAAGCTGTCCACAATGGCGATTGTGTCCGCCCCAGGAGTGGAGAACAGCTCTTGGTCGCTCTGTAGGAGTCCTTTTCCCACTTTAAGGTTGGTGTAGTAGTTTTTGTCGAACACGTCCGGGGTTGTTGGATCGAAATTGGCTCTTGTGTCTGGACCTGCCGAGCATACCCCTTCTAGAACTTGCCTGTAGTTGGGGTCCAGCGATGGATCTGGGCTTCCCGTATTGTTGAAATTGCTAAATCGGTGGCTGAAGAATCTGCACCTCGATCGCCCAAATGTATGAGCTCCCGATAGTGCGACGAGGTCGGTTGTTCCGAGGCCAACCGCTGCGAATTTGGCTTTCAGTTGAACCAGAGTCTCGAACGGACTTGCGAGGTTCGCATCTGCCCCTGTTTTGTTCGCTATTTTACTGTCTCTTCTTCCGTGCAACACTCTCCAACTAGGCCCACCTTGCTGAAAATTCATAAACATGTCGTTTTTTTTAATATCGGGTCTATAATCATTCCCAAAATTAGCCAACGTGAGACTGACTCCCAATAAGTATTATTACCAGATTGACAGAGTCTTTCGATGCCTGAGCGAGGATGTCGGCGCAGGAGACTACGCCGGGACAGCTCCTCTCGACGTCGGCTTTGATGGCGTCGACAATTTCAAGTCCTTGGATTCCTTGATTTCCGGGTGAGTTGAGCTCACTGATTATGCCCGGAGCATCTACTAGCAAAACAGAGCCGTCGCAGCCCTGTAATATCAAACACAGAACCAAATTAGAAACATGACAATAAATAAATGAAGAGAGTGGAAATTTGTAATTACATTGACGAAGCAATCATGAAAATGGAGGCGGATGAGTTTAGCGCCGGCGCGGACGTCGGAATCGATGGCTTTCTTGACGGCGGCGCGGACAATGTTGGGGAGAGTTGGGCAAGTTTTGTCGTAGAAATTCTCGGAGAGTTGAGCTAAAGAGGCAGGGAGGAGAAGAGCCAAGAAGAAACAGAAGGCAACGGCATTGGAGGAGGCCATTTTGGAGTTTTGGAGTGAGGAAAATGTGAAGGAATGGAGCCTGTTTTTATAGAGTCTAAAGCAGAGTGCGTGGGTCGCGTGTTATGCTCACGACACGGCGGCCGCCGAACACTTTGCCCCGCCACGTGGCCGTCACCGATTCAATATTTCAGCTTTATTACTCGAACCATCCTAATTATTATTATTATTAATTTGTTAAGCTATTAAACAATTTTTTTTTTTTTTTTTTTTTTTTTTT